GTGGCTGCTCCTGGCGGGCGGCGGCTTCCCGCTTGGAAGTGCTGAGCTGAGTGAAAGGGAGCGGTAGAAAGGCGGGTTTTCCCCATGGAAATGGCGAAGAGCCTGTTGCCGAGTGGGTAGGGATAAGCCGAGCCGTTAGAAAGCTGCCTTCATGGCTTTTTCTTACAGGTTTTTATTATGCCGGCTATTTTCGAACATTCCGCTGTTTTAATGCAAATAAAAGCAAAACCTTTTCAGCTTTACTGTGCGGCCAAAGTCAAGTTTGGGGTATTTTTTTCCCCCTCCCTGCTAGCACCGTAAAATCCTCCTGTGTTAAGCTTAAAAAAAAAAAAAATCCATCCTATTAGTAATAAAGACCAAAACTTTCCTCCTGCTGCATATGTGAATGCTGCATTGTTGAACGCATCATCTGTTGTACAAAAGTCCTGGCTGATAGTAGCCCGTTGCGGGATGGAAGTCTCAGCAAGAGCTCCTGAATCTTTCTCCTTATCTGAGAGTACTCACGTGAAGTCTTTTGACTTTGTGAGTCAGTAGACTCCTGTTTTAACTTCCATGGTCAGAAGCTGGTTTTCTTTCTCCCCTCCAGTTCTAAGTTGGATGCTGCTGTCTTAAAATTCTTTTACTGCCAATAATCAACGCAGCTACTGTGTTGTCTTGTTTTTACTTATAAGCCCTTTTTTCTTCACATAGGCTTGTTTTTGAGATTTGATGAGTGCTATGTTAATTATTACACAATTTAACAAGTATATAATATTTGCTTCGTTACAGGTCTTGGATACAAAAGACCTCCAGATATTTAAAGTGACTGTAAATGGACAGGATGCACAATTTGGTTTTGGACAGAAGCACAGTTTCAAGGGGACTCCACTGGAAATCACTTTTCCCTTTGAATTGAGGAGGTATGTACCTTTGCCTGCTCCTTTAGAGGGCTTCCAGAATGCACAATATAAGGTACTTTCTGTCTGCAGAGTCTTTGTATAAAGCTGGCGAAAGGACTTGGTAGTTAGGGTGTTGCGTTTATTTGATATACAGTCTTGCAGTTGAATTTTAATATTTACCTGTCGTTAGACAGACAAATCTTTGGGAGTCTTTGTACCTGCGTCCAGGTCTGATATAATCTGTGGAGTGACTTGCTAAAGTGAGTAGTGAAATGGTGTGGAACATGTCACGATTATTCCAGCATTTCTCATTGGTAATATTCTTCCTTCTGCTTCAGCTGCCTCAGTGTTCAGAGTTGCTCCAGTAGGGAGCATATGGAGCAACAGACCCTGTTTTCCTTCCTTTTATACAAGGACTGATCTCCTGCAGTTCTCCCACAGGACTGCAGATTGCCACTATGATTAGATGGAAATATATTTTTAAACAATACAAATGTTATCATATTGACTAGAGGCTCAGGTCTCTAAAAACATGGACATCAAACAAAACATAAGCAACCTCTTTTAAGTTGTATGAAATAAAAAGTTGTTGCCAAGTTCAGCGTGGTCCTTTGACCGTTTGCTTTCTGTGATGTAGCTCCGTGATATCTCATGTGCTCAAGCTAAAAGCTGCGATTGTATGAGGCGGTTCCCTTGTCTGAATATAATTTTATAATAAGTTGTCATTTACTGATGAGTTTTCGAAAGTGATTGCTACTTCTCGAAACTCAACGTTTGCTTCTTAATACTTTTCTTCCTTCTCTGAATTGGTACAGTTTAGAAGAATATGTAAAGTGGAAGAAAAAGGAATGTCACACAGTAGCTGTTATTCTTGTTAAGTAAAAGCAATAATGGAAAGCCATACAGAATGTGCTGCCTGTCCCTTCTGGGAGAACACTTATGGTCTGATGTGAACCTGAAAAATGGAGTACTTGAACAAACGGGCGACATCGGAGGCGTAGGGAATTGTTTCGTTTGTTTGACTTTCAGCTTTTCTTCATTGCTAGATTTTCTTGTAAGAAAAAAAGCTACAGATACAGTGCTAAGAATTTATTACCTTGTATTGCCTGTGGTCCCCCATGTAAGTCTTAATAGTGATAGGAAAGGGTAAGAGTTACAACTGTAAGTTTTAACTATTCAGTAAGCATATGTGCCTTATGGTGATACAAATTACTTTTTCTTTTGTTGTCAAATATGTACTTTGGAATACTGACTATAAACTAGATATCTACACCTGGTCAGCTTATCTAGCGTCCAGTTTCTCCGATTAGCTGAAGTTCTTTCTGATTTATGACTGGATTGTTAATTCTAAAGAGTTGCTGGAACTTTCAGATAACAGATGCGTGTACTTCTGCATGGTCTTGGTGGTGGTGATGGTTACGTTTTGTTTTAAAAAATAAGCATATGATTGTATCATCTTTTGCACATGTGAACTCTTGTTAGCAAATTGGTGCCTATCTTGCACAGAGCTGTTAGCTTTTCCTTAACACCAGTTCTTGAATCCTGAGCCCTGACTAAAGTTGGGGCATTTTGTATTTTTCTCATTAACCCTAATGTTAGTGGGGATTTCCAGTAATTCCTGTATCTAGTAATTTTTTTTC